GCCGGTTGAGCTATAGGCGCCGAGCCAGTGTCTCTTGTTCTAATGAGGCAGCTCTTGGAGATTCCAGGATGGGGGATGGTCAACAGAAAGACCAAGCCAGGATTAGAAGCATGGAACTCTCAGCCTCATCCCTCTCCTCCAAGGTAGGGGAAAAGAGCTGGAATCGTGTGGAAGTGAAGAAGGCTCCACAGAAAAGAAACTATAGGGTTGTTGCAGGTTCCAGCAGGTGGTGCCCCTTGCCCCATACTCCTCCTATGCACCTCTTCATCTGACTGTTCACCTGAATCCTTTTAATTATAATAGACCACTAAAAGTAAAAGAAATGTTTCCTAAACTCTGTGGGCCATCCTCACAAATTACCAAGCCCAAGGAGGGGACTACAGGAACCCTGATTTATAGCTTGGTGAGAAGCACAGGTGACAAACTAGGACTTGTGACTGGCACCTCAAGTTGGGGCAGTCTTGTGGGACTAAGCCCTCAACCTGCAGGGGCTGCACTAATTCCAGGTAGTCACTGTCAGAACACACACACACCAGAAGACACCACTAGCATCTATGGAAGACTAGGGAATGACCTGGTATAAGAAAAGCCCCCATGTTTTGGTGTTGTGCTGAGTGTCACAAGAGAACACAGGTGGTTTCTTCTACTCAGTCCGAATGCCAGAGAGAAGGCTCCCACAGGAGCCTGAAGCCCCCAAGACTCCAGTGATGCCAGCAGCTACGGGACTCACACGGCCCTGCCATTCAGGAACTCCTCCACCGCCTGGCAGTAGATGGTGATGGCCACCCGGGCATCAGCGTCAAAGGTGAATTCCAAACTGTAGAGCACCCGGGGCTTCTCATTGTCCTCAGTGGGGCTGTCAGCATCATCCTTGTACCTACTCAAGGGAGGTGGAGAGGGAACAGGTCAGGGGGTCATAGTCTGTGGAGATAGCTACTAGGACACATCTCACTTTTCTAGCAAACATGGAGGCCCAGTTCCTATTTATTTATTTATTTATTGAGACAGAGTCTCATTTTGCCATCCTGAATAAAGTGCCAGAGCATCATAGCTCACAGCAACTTCAAACTCTTGGTTTCAAGCAATCTCTTGCCTCAGCCTCCCAAGTAGCTGGGACTGCAGGTGCCAACCACAATGCCCAGCTACTTTTTTAGAGACAGGATCTCACTCTTGCTTAGGCTGGTCTCAAACTCCTGAGTTTAAGCAATCTACTCACCTCAGCCCCACAGAGTGCTAGGATCACAGGTGTGAGCCACTGCACTGGGCCCTACTTACTATTTAGACAAGAAGGCTCAACAATCTAGGATTTACTTTCCCCTTCTTTCCGCCCACAGAAAAGTGGGGGATGAATCCTTCAGGTTTACAGGTGGCCCCAAATGCCTCAAGTCTGGGTCATCCTGAGCTGTGGGGGGCTGTCCTGCTCACTGCAGGAAGTTCAGCAACACCCCTGGCCTCTAGCCATTAGATGCCAGGAGCACCCCACTCCCCAGATGTTTTTAGACAGCACCCAGTGTCCCTGGGGCACAAGTGCTCAGTTGAAAAACCCTAGTTTAGGTGGCATCCGTAGCTCAGTGGGTAGGGTGCCAGCCACATACACCAAGGCTGGCCGGCTCAAACCTGGCCCGGGCCCAATAAGGCAACAATGACAAACTGAAAAAAAAAAATAGCCGGGCATTATGGTGGGTGCCTATAGTCCCAGTTACTTGGGTGGCTAAAGCAAGAGAATCGCTTAAGCCCAGGAGTTGGAGGTTGCCATGAGCTGTGACGCCACAGCACTCTACCCAGGGCGATATCTTAAGACTCTGTCTGAAAAAGAAAAGAAAACTCCTAGTTTAAAGGATCTAGTAGGTTCCAGTGCTCTTTCTATCTCTCACCCAAGGAACACCTCTGGGTGCCTGCAGCCCTGCTCACAGCCCCTGGCCCCATTCAAGGCCCACTCTTCTTCCCAGGACCCGCCTGGAACCCCAACCCAGGCACATCCCACAGAGTTCTAGATACCCCAGGGCTTCAGCCTCAGGGTTCCCAGGGGCAGGACCAAAGGTTACCTCACAAGCCGGAGGGAGTCTTTCCGGATGTTCACCAGGCTCCTCAGCGTCTTCACTGGCTCGTGGGGAGCAGGAGTGACATAGGGAAACTAAGAAGGAAAAGCCAGAAGCAATCCCAGGTGACTGCCTTGTAGTGGCAGAGGACAGAAAATGTAAGGTTCTCAGCCCTGACTTGTCTCCTGGGCTCTGTCTCTGAAGAGGGGCCACAATGGGTGCTGCCCCCATCTACAGTGAAGGAACATCAGGCAGTACAGCCAGCAAGGGAAACCCAGGACCACACCACCATGAGAATCTGGCCTCTCAGATGTGTCCCCAGTTCCAGGGAGGACCCTCAGTAACTTCACCTGGCCAGAGAGACAGGGTGGGAGGCGGCCAAGGTTGGAATCTTTTTTTTTTTTTTTTGAGACAGAGTTTCACTTAATTGCCCTCGGTAGTGTACCGTGGCATCTTAGCTCACAGCAACCTCAAACTCTTGGGTTCTAGTGATCCTCTTGCCTCAGTCTGCCAAGTCCTGGGACTACAGGCACCGACCACAACGCCCGGCTATTTTTAGAGAAGGGGTCTCGCTCTGGCTCAGGCTGGTCTTGAACCTGTGAGCTCAGGCAATACACCCACCTCAGTCTCCCAAGAGCTAGGATTACAGGCCTGAGCCATTATGTCTGGCCCAAGGTTGGAATCTTGATCTATGTTCCTGGTAGTGGGACATGATGCTGCCACTGCCTCTGAACAAGGCAGTCAATCCATACAACAAGAACAGCCAGTAAAGGTTTAGAAAGGTTTGCACACAAGTGCATGTAAAACAGGTGACATTTGCGCCTATAACACAGTGGTTACGGTGCCAGCCACATACACTGGGGCTGAGGGGTTCAAACCTCACCTGGGCCAGCTAACCAACAATGACAACTGCAACAAAAAAAATAGCCAGGCGTTGTGGCAGGCACCTGTAGTCCCAGCTACTTAGGAGGCTGAGGAAAGAGAATCGCTTAAGCCCAAGAGTTTGAGGTTGCTGTGAGCTGTGATGCCATGGCACTCTACCAATGATGACATAGTGAGACTCTGTCTCAAAAAAACAAACAAAAAAACAGGTGACATTTGGAAAATATCGCTGTGTCAAAAGCAGTGTCCAGCTTTGACACTGTGCAGGAGTTTTCCAGGACTTTATCACTAGGAGAAAGTGGCGAGGTGCACACAAGATCTAAGATTTCTTACAATTGCAGGTGAATCTACAATGGAGTCAAAATAAGAAGTCAAAAAAGCGCTATGAAGGCTACTGTGAGCTTGGCCCAGCAGGAGATGAGGCCACACAGAGTCAAGGCTCCTGCTCCTGCAGACCTGAAGGGTCAGAGACAGCTCTCTGCTGGTCTCACAGGCAGGAGGCAGCGGCACTCAGCCCCATCCCCTGGCTGCAAGATCAAAGTTTCATGTCACAGAGCTGCCCAGTGGCTAAGATAACCTGGAAATCCTGGTCTGGAAGGTGAGGGAGTCCAGCATCCCCCTAGAGAGAGGTCTCCCACCTGGCTTTTGCTGTGGCCTCCCAGGATTTGTGGGCCACACTGTCTTTTGCCCAAGTGGCCTGAGCCCTCTCACCTCCTCCTCTGTTCTCTCGCCCCCTGCTTTCTTGCTCCTCCTGGGGGGCTCCTTCCTGCTTTTCATGGCTTGGCTCAGCCATGACTCCATGGGGCCTACCCTCCATCTCTCTCTCTATGAACCATGCACTCATCCAATGCCAACTGTTCTGCACCCCACTAGGGAACAGGATAGGGTCTGCCTACCGTCCCGGCCCCTAGAAGAGTGCCAGGCACACAGCAGGTGCCGAATCAGTGTTGAACAAACAGACAGCCATGCCTGAATGTGTACCCTTCTGGTAACTAGTAAAAAAGTTCACCATCTGTTTGGGTTTCTCCTTCAAAGTATATCTTTTGCCCATCCTTCTATGGAACATGGATTTTCTTTTTGCTTTTTAAAGAAAGTCACTCAAGATGCCTGGAACCAAATCTGTAACTTTGTGCAGCCCTATAGCCTGGGGGCAACAGTTCAATATGACTGCTCTCTTCCTCAGTGACCTGTAACTGGCTGTCTGGCTTCTAAGGGGCACTGGCAGGACACACTCTGTTACAGTCACACAACCACGTCTGGCTCAACTGCGGGCCTGTCAGGAGCTCTGCCAGTTTGGAGTGACTTGGTGCCTGCCTGCCTGCCCTCCCAGAGGGGACAGATGACTGGGGATGGGGCCTCCCAACCCACCCCCCTGCCCAAGCAGGACAGAAGGCTGGGAACAAGACCTCTCACACCCACAACAAGAAAACAGATAGCTGGGGACAGAGCCTCCCCACCAAGGGGACAGACAGCTAAGAACAGGGCCTTCCTTCAACCCCCACCATGAGGACGACAACTAGGGACAGGGCTTTCCACACCACTCCCCCCCAGCAGGGATAGAGGGTGGGGACAGATGGCTAGAGAAAAAAAGGGCCTCAGACCCACCTGAACTGGCCGGCTGCCCAAGAAGTTCAGATCCATGTTCTCACCAAAGAGGTAACCTTCAGGGTGGGGTGTGTCGAATTTCTCACCTCCCATGAAAAAGTGGGAAGCAAAGTAGTTTCCTGTTTAAAAAAAAGAATACAGTTGTAGATTCTCAGGTTCAACATGGCCCAAGGAGGAACATATAAAGACCTGAGAAAGACTTAGTCCTGAGAGAAGTTGGGGGGTGGGGGGTGGGTGGGCATGGAACTGGCTTCCTGTGCAATGGCCCAATCAGCCATACCTAGGGCCTTCCAAGGTAACCTACAGGCCTCTGTAGCTCATCAGCCTCAACACTTTTCCTCTCCTGGACTACTCTCTCCCTACAGTCATCAGGTCTCAACTCTGGCCTCAGTGCCCCCTGCAGTGGGCTGAGCCATGTTCCCCACAGAAATGTGTCCAGGTCCTTACCCCACCTCCACCTCCTATGCATGTGACCCTGTTTGGAAGGAGGGTCTTTTTTGACGTGATCAAGTGAAGATGAGGTCATACTGGATTAGAGAAACCTAAATCCAGTGACTATGATCTTAAAAGAAAGGGAAAGATTTGGACACAGATACACATACAACAGAAAGCACAGACTAGAGTGATGCAGTCACAAGCCAAGGAATGACAAGGAACCTGGAGCCTCCAGAAGCAGGGGACAGGCTCTTCCCCTGGCACCTCCTAAGGGAGGTCCCGCTGACACCTTGATTCCCCACTTCTGGGCTCCAGAACTGTGAGACCACATTTCTGTTGCTCTAAGCCACAGTTAATGGTCACTTATTACAGCTTCCTCAGGAAATCCTTACACAGTCCCTTACCCCAGAGCCAACAAGGCAGGAACAAAAGCCCAGACATTCCACTTTGTGTCAACTTCTTTTCCTTGGACAAGGAAATTGAGCATGTATCAATTTGAAGTTTTTAAGTCAATAAAAATAGAATAACTAAGGTAGAGGTAAGCACAGGATGTCTTTCCACATCACCTGGGCCTCATACAGCTCCACCACATGAAAGCATCAGTGTATCTTCGTACACAGTCTTTAAAGGTGACAAGTCCCACAACAGCCTGTGGGGTGTTGGCAGGAGGCAGGCACCCAAAGCTCTGGGACCCAGGATCTCTGGACCCTTTTTCTGGGCCTCAGCTTCAGTCTTGGTTGGCCTTTGGCCCATAAATCTCAAGCCTGAAATCACAGAGCAGGGGAAAGGACCTCAGCCAGAAGCCATAGAGAGCCCAGTGCAGAGCTACCAATTCTGTTCTGCCAAGATGTATGCAATGTTCATAAAACAGCAGATGGGCTGGGCACAGTGGCTCACACCTGGAATCCCAGCATTCTGAGAGGCTGAGGCAGGAGGATCCCTTGAGCTCAGGAATTCAAGATGGAGCCTGAGCAAGTGCAAGACCCCCATTTCTACCAAAAATAGGAAAATTAGTCAGCATTATGGCAGACACCTACTGTCCCAGCTATTTGGGAGCCTGAGGCAGGAGGATCACTTGAGCCCATCGAGGAGCCATTGTGATCCAACCTGGGCAACAAAGACAGATCCTGTCTCAAAACCAAAACAAACAAACAAACAAAAAAAAACCTAGAAGGAGTTAAGTTGTCAGTTGATAAATCTTTTTTTTTTTTTTTT